CCGCCCAGCGTGCCACCAATCGCACCGCCCACGCCGGCGCCTTCCGCGGCCTTGTTGCCGAGTTCGGTCTCGCCCGAACCGAAGTGCTGGGCGCGGGCCTCGTCGGACATGACGAGGTTCACGTCGTCCTTGGTGTAGCCGCGCTCGCCAGCAGCATTGAACGCGGATTCCGCACTGGCACGGTCCGGGAACAGGCCGGTGACGAGACGGCCGCTGGCGGCGCTGGTGGTGTTGTTGCTGAAGTCCATGACAAGCTCTCGGTTCAGGTTGGAGGTGCCCTTGCAGGGCAAGCCGGGCTCCCGGAGCGCCACCGCATCGATCGGCGGTGCGCCCCTAGTTTCATAACGAAACTTTCTAGCGGCATTCGTCCGGTCACGCGTCCCGCCGCCAGAATCCGGTTCTTCAACAGATGGCCGCGCCCGATGCAGCTCCGCCAACCTAGGCAGCTTTCCTCAATGGCGTTGCGCTGGCTGCTCGCCGGCATGCTGGTGAGCACCTCCATCGCGCTCAACTTCGGCTACCAGCGGCTGACCGACAACCGCAATCCGCTCACGCTCTTCTATCCCGGCTTGATCGCGGCAGCCCTGCTGTGCGGGCGCGCCCCGGCCTATGGCGCCCTCCTCGGCGCGGTGCTGGCCATCAGCAGCATGTGGCTGCCACCGCTGGGCGAGTTGTACCTGCTCGACGCCGCGTCCTGCTGGGCGCTGGCCGGCTTCCTGGTCGTTTCGACGCTGATGATCGAGATCTGCGTCTGGGCTGCCCGGTCTGCGCAACGGCTGATGCAGCAAAAGGCCGACCTGCAGTCCATGCTGATGCGTCTGCACATCGATGTCGCCGCGCGGCGCACCGCGGAAGAGGACCTCGCCTCGCAAGCCCGGCTGCTGCGCCTGGCAACGGAGGCCGGCGGCGTGGGGACCTGGGAGCTGGACTTCGTCCGCGACGTGAACCGGCTCTCCGCCGAAGCCGCGATGCTGCTCGGCGTGTCGGAGCGCGAATTTCCTGCCGCCCGATGGTCTGCCATCGTCCACCCGGACGACCGCGAACGCGCGGCCGCCGCCTGGGCCGAAGCCGTGGCCTGCGGCACGCCTTACGACATCGAGTACCGCTCGGCCACGCCCCTCGCGGACGGCACGCATCGGTGGTTCCTGGTGCGCGGCGTCGTCGAGCGCGAAGCGAACGAGCCGCGTCGGGCGCTCGGTGTCGTCGTCGACATCACCGATCGCAAACGCGCCGAGCAGGCGCTGCGCGAATCGGAGCGGCGCTTTCGTGTGCTGGCCGACGGCGTGCCCTCGGCCATCTGGGCCACCGACGCTTCGGGCGAGCTGGAGTTCGTCAACGCGGGCTACACCCGCTTCTTCGGGCTGAGCCTCGACGAAGCGCGCGCTGCGCAACGGCAAGGCTGGCCCGACACGATCGACCCGCGGGACCGCGAGCACTACGTCAGCGCATTCCGGCAGGCTGTCGCCGACCGCCAGCCGTTCCATGCGCAGACGCGCGTGCGCCCGCGGGCCGGCGGCTGGCATCACGTCGAGACCCACGCCCTGCCCCGCCTCACGCGGGAGGGCGTCTACGTCGGCCACGTCGGCATGACCACCGACGTGACCGAAACGGTC